TGCGTGTGCAGCGTGCGTGTGCAGCGTGCACATGAGTGCAGCGTGTTGAGAGTAGGCGTGTACAAGTGTGCGTGTCAGAATGAGTGTGCATGTTAGGAACAGATTCAAATACTTGAGTGTGTGTGTGTTAATGTTTCTATCTGCTTGTTTACCGAAAAGGTTTGTTACCCCCCCCCCCACCCCCACCACCTCTCCTCCTCCTCCCCTCCTCCTCCCTGCCCCCCCCCCCGGCTGAACTTTTTTCCTTTCAATGGGATGAATCGGAGGTGAGGGACGGATCTCGGAGGACAACAATAGCCGGCCGGCGCTCTGCCTCTGACCTTTTCTCACCCGTTGTGAATAAACCCGAGCCGTGCAAATCCATCTGCCTTTTGTCTATGGGAGCCTGGCTAATCCCCCCCCCCCCTTTTTCATTCACACACACAGACACACACACCCCAACCAGGAGAACGAACCCCTCCACCACCGAACCCTCCGTCTCAAAACCGCCGCTAACCGAAAAAGAACTGCCCACGTTCCTTATTTCTACCACCGATTTCCCCTCATCTCATCTCTTAATTGACTTAAGTGACATTTTCTTTTGTAGGGAAAGCTGCAAAGCGGATTATTATAAGTATGCGTATTATAAGTATGCGTATTATAAGTATGCGTACTATAAGTATGCGTACTATAAGTATGCATACTACGACGCGGCCTACGAGGTCACACGAGGCGCGGACGGCTCAAAGCCGAGTCTTTTTTTTAACGGGAAATCTGGATCTGGGGAAACCAACAATTTTTGTGTAAAAATGAGTGTGGAAAAATGTTGTGTTCATTTCCCCTCTCTTATTTTTTAGAGGGTTTCTCCCCCCCTCCTCCGTTCAGAGTGGCCTGTCTTGGCTTTGGGGGGGGGGGGGGGGGGGGTGTCTGATATCTGAAGGGGCTGAACTCAGCAGCGTGTGCAGCCGGCATCCTTGACGGTTCTCTGCTAATGCCTCTTCTTTCCTCTCACTGTACGTCAAGCGGCCTGTGCATGGGGCAGATGGACAATAGAGGGGTGGGGGGGGTGGAGGGGGCATGAAAGCTTCTCCCCTTTTCCCTCCGGGGAGAATATATTTTTTCTTTCATTCTTGGCCTCACCCTCCCCCCCCTTTCGTCATAAAGTAATCATCTGAGCCATGTGATTGAAGTGTGGATCGCTGTTTCGGTTTCGCTGGCTGTGTTTTCTCTTAGTCCCCCTCCCCAAAAAATCGATGCAAAAGTCGGAAGGATTATTCCCATATACCGATAATTTGACGAGGGCGGGGGGGGGGGCGTGGGGTGGTGTCAGAAGGAGGCCTAGGGGCCGCAGGTCAGCTGACCAGTACGGGCGAAAAGGGAAAAGGTGTGGAGGTGAAATGAGCGTTTAATCCCCCCCCCCCCCCCCCCCCCCCTCTCCCCCCACAGACTGTCTCCCACTCACCTCCACCCACTCAACAACTGCAACCCAACTTGATTAAGCAGGTGGGGTCGGAGTACATGGTTTGAATCAATAGAAAGACCTGCGAGGCAGCAATGATAAAGAGACCTGGGGGGCGAGAGAGGGGGGGTGAGTGTGTGTGTGTGTGTGTGTGTGTCTCTGCACACTAGGCTTTTGGAAACGCCGGCATCTGCCGTGTGAAAGGTGACGGAGCTGTTACAGTTAGCACCCTGAATTATGGGCCATTACGAGGCCAGCAAGAAGCGACCCCTCCCCATGAAACTTAATTTGACAAAAACCCAGAGATGACTCGGGGGGGGGGGTCAGAATGACGAATGTTTCCGCGGCGTGAGAGAAATATATGTGCATTTTTGCAGCGGCTGATTGCGGTGCAGCGTGTGGAATCAGCAGTAATGTATTATTAATGGCGCCTGCTTTTTGTTTATGATGCTTCTCCTTCCCGCCGCCATCTTTTACAAGGGAGACGCATTAAACACACAAACTGCCTCATTAGCCCCCGCGGCATCGCTCCCCGGTGCATCTCTGACACGTCCGGTCCTCCGGAGCGCGATTTCTCACCTGTTTTTTTTAATAATGTTCTTCACAGCGGCGGCCACAGTGGGCGACGCCCACTTTTCCCCCTGTGGGGGACCGTCACATTACAATGCGGCCGGCTCTTACAGTACGGCTCGCATCGGCTCCCTCGCAGCCAATCGGACGCCCCGCAAAGTCCCGCTCCCCCCCCCCCCTGTGGGTCCTTTTGCGGGCGCTCTTTATCAGGTGGTGAATGCGGACTGAGCAATGAATGAAATCTTAGTGGGGGGGGAGGGGGGGTAACTCTCCCAGAACCTCACAAGAATTCCATGACAATCCGTGTGTGCGAGGTGGACCGCCCCCCTCCCCCACAGTACAGGGTTTTTCCTCTGTGCTGACAGGGCAAGGAGGCTGGGGGGGGGGGGTTGACAAGGCCGCCCCCCCCCCCCTTCTTAACACTCCGCCGCCCCCTTCCCCGACCTCTTTCAAAACCACCTTCCCATTAACTCACCGCGCATAATCGCTGCTGTGTCCTCCACCACCGAGGGGAGGTTCGGGGGGGGGGGGGGGGGGGCAGCGGGGGTCTGAGCACCTTCCTTTCCTCCACACTTAGAAAACACCTTCATGTGCAGAGTGGAAAATGAGGGGGCCAGCTGATGACTGAAGGAGGGAGTGGGGGGGTTTGGGGTCATTGATTGCTGACGGGGAAGCGACGGTCTTTCTCGCCTCATCGCCGCGCTGGTTGAACAGTAAAATGTGTCCCATCGTGCCGCGTGAAAAAGGACCCGGTTCTCGCGCTCGCCAAGTGGGCAGAGATCTGCTGGAGCGGAGGCCCGGAATGGGCCTTCCTCCGACACGGCGAGCGCTGTGCTGCGTTTACGCATTCGGGGCACCGGGGGGCACAGATGGAGGCAGGAACAAACGCTTGTGATTATAGTTTTCTTCGAGCGCCGTGATATGCATATTTATGTCGCCCCCCCCCCTAAAAAACGAAGGAAATAAAAGAACCATGTGATTTACAGATTCTATCTTCTGGTGCAGGATCACTCTCTGTTTTTTTGGAGTGGGGGGGGGGGTGTTCGGATGGATTTTGGCATCTTGTTTGCTGGGGGGCTTTAATCCCGGGATGTTCCACCCATGATTTAGTTCCTCTCGCTCCATCGATCGGTGAGAATCACCTGATCAATCTTCCAGGGTCTGGAGCACTGAGCCTGTGAGGGCTGAGGGGGGGCGGGGGGGCGCTCCCTTCCCGACGGGAGAAGAAACACGTCACTGACCTCCTGTTTTCTTTCTCCATCCCACAGGGGAGCCAGATCAAGCAGATCCCCACCAAGTACAGCCAGGCGGAGTCCACCAAGTTCCTGGTGCTCACCGTGGTGTCCATCCTGTGCATCGTGGGGGTGCTGCTGGCCTCCACCGTGGTCTACTGCCTCCGCCACCGCTCCCACCACAAGCTCAAGGAGAAGCTCACCAACCTGGGGACGGACGCCGGCGGCGATGCCACCACCAACTACCAGGTAGGAAGGGCTGCATTTATTCACTTATTTAAATGGAATTGTGACGTTTCTGCAAACCAAAAAATACATTTTTGAACCGAAACATCTGAGGAAAGAAGCTGAAAATAGCTGGCGGTTAACGACATGAAGGAGGTGGTTAAGTTTAGGGAGGCGGCGACCTCACATTCTGAAAAATCAAGTCAATAATAAGCGCCTTTACCTGCCGTTTTCTTAATGGCCACCAGGGGGCGACTCCTCTGGTCCCGTAGACCTCTCCTGATTTATTCCCTCATGAACATTGTTTATGGCCTCAATCTCGAGTTTCAAGTCTTCTTCAACACAGCATGATGCTCATTTAGTGAATTACGGTCCATGGAGTCAAACAGACCATAAAGCAGGGGACGCTTTAGGGCGGGGCTACACGCTGATTGACAGTCCTGCTTGATCACCTTCTCAGACTATTTGTTTCATACATTTCAAACACGTGTAATGCGTCTCATGAACTCACTATTTTCAAAGGGAATTCATGGAAGTCTCTTTCCTTTTGGATGATGCTTTTTTATAAAGCGCCTCTTTACCTCACGAACAGCATTTCTGGAGTTGGTGACTAAAAGCTTTCAATTTGGGACCGTGTGGGGGGGGGGGGGGGGTTAAAAGGGAAAGTAGCCCTCTGCCGTTGGAGTATAGTGATATTATCCCATCAGCAGCTTTTATGGCGTACTTATTTGATACTAGATTGATGCACTGTGCTCAGCCCCTGCTATAATTTGTTGTCTGACACGTGAAGTGATAGCGCCGATCCAACAGGTCACCCCCCCTCCGCCCCCCCCCCGCCCAGTCATTCCCATCCCCGGTCCCTGCCTGCTGTAATTATCCTTTTGGCCCAAATAGTCGGGTGTGAAATTTAATTTACAGAATCCAATATTAAGTGGCTTTTTTGAGCCTAGAATTAAATTTGTGATTTTTTTATCCGCCTCTCTCGCTCTGACCTTTTCCACGCCGTGTTTTTAAGTAAGAGCGGTCCTGCAAGCATTGATTTTTGTAACGAGCCCCGCCCGTCCCCGAAGTGCCTACATTTTATGGCCTCCTCCGGGGGTCTTGACTCCAGGAATCGACTGTGTCCCGCTCCGCTGCCTCGGAGGAGGATTCACATCCTTCATTTTCTGGCCTGCCGCTGCTTACCGGTGGGGAAGAAGATGGAAATGTGAAAAATAAAATGAAAAAAAGCACATCAGACTGTTGGAAGTGGAAGAAGAAACTGTTTCTGAAGGGTGTCCAATGACACGCTGCCCCCCCCCCCCCCCTTTGTTTACTTCAAATATTTGTTTTTACTCACTTATCTTCACGGTAACTTGCCTCCGAGATTCGCCTTGAACCGCTAATTGGAAAACGCTAATTCAAATTCCCAAGTTTAATAGCGAACAAAAAGAAGAGGAGGAGAAAGGTTTGTGTGCCCCCCCCCACCCACCCACCTCCCTCGCCTGCTTTGACTCCCGTCGCATCAAACTGGTCCCGGTGACGCGGGATTGGACGTTGATTCAAACTTATCCCATTTAAAGATATCATCACTTGCACCGGGACATTTTCTTTAAACTTGTGGAGATATCTCAACATATTTGCATATTTTCTAAAATGTGCAATTTTTTTTAAGAGCCCCATTAACGTTTTCTTAATAGCCCCCCCCCAGCCACCCACGTTATCGCTCTCAATTTAATCTCAAGGACCTTCACAGACATGATAACACCATCTTGTCACATTTCCATCAACTTCTTCTCATTCTCTCAGAGTTTGAATTGGGACTTTTTGTTGTTGTTTCTCGTCTCCAAATCGGACAACTTCTCATCTAAAGTCACCAGCGTTAAGATGGAGAAAAGACAAACTCCTTAAATGGTTCATCTCAGTCCTCGTCTGGATAGTTCAAACTGTCTCAGGGGGAGATAAATACTGATACCTGATCCATTCTACCATCTGATGCGTGCGCAGTAATATTAAGTCAGGATAAAACACAATTCATGTGAGCGCTTCCGTCTTCCATCCAACATTCAGCCCTGAATCTGGTTCAGCGCTCTTATCCAGTCCAATTTAGGTGAGTTATCAAATCCACATGTGACATGTTATTTAAACACAACAGGGAAACATATATTTATTAAAACCAAATCGAATGCAATCAGTGGAAGCTTTTATCCTTACACACGCACTGATACATGCGCGTGTGAATTAAATTAAATTAAGACCGGAGCTGTTTTTCATCCTTTTCTCATCTGTTGTATCTGAATGTCTACCTTCAGGAGGAGGCTGAACTATCAGATGTACTTGTACAACAATGAGTACTAAATATATTAAAATAATTTAAGACATGGGCAATTTCTCCCAAGGACTGGTATGATAATGGTTGGTCTCGTTGGGAGTCACTGAGGTTAAAGCTGCAAACGGCCCTCATCCGTCCCATAATCCACAGTGATGCATCAATAAGACGAAGATACCTGTTTGTGTGGAAGCAGGACTTCAGTCCGCCGCTGTTGGTCCTCTAATTGGCTCTCGGGGCGGTAATTTGTTCTAATGACATCGTAAAAGAATTTCACAGTGTGGGCTCGTTGAAGTATGAACACACCAAAACACCCACAATGCACTGCTTTGCGCTGACTGGGGTTTTTCCTGTGTAGCCGAGGACAAAAACGGTCAGGCCACTTTATGGGTGCCAATGCTTTGCTTTCGTTAAACATCCCAAAAATGACCAGTCACCTTGACCGCTGGGACGCTGGAAGCCCCTCCCCCATGGAAGCCCCTCCCCCTGAAACCCAGTGACGCTTTCATCTTCTCTGCCAAGAACTGTCTAAAGGGAGAACTTTGGCGTCCCGTCAGGCTGCACAAGAGTCACAGGATTTTAAATAATAGATGTCATTGGCTGGTTTGGTATTGATTGACGACTTGAGGTTCTCCTACTGGTGCTACTATTAATTAATTAATTAATTAGTAATTAATTAATGTAGTGTCTAAATTCCAGATGAAGATGAACATTATTTGTTCACACTGAAACCTTGAATCTGCTCTTAGTTCATCCGTCGCCTCCTCCGTCAGTTACCCACCCGTATCGCTCCCATGAAGGAGCCCCCACAGACGGACGCCTGCTTTCACGTGGAGACAATTCACCGCCACGTCCCTCTGGCTCGAGTGGAGTTCTCTCATGCAATAGGAATGTCTTATACTTGTATCAATGACTCACCCTGCCCCCCCCCCCTCCCTTCCTCCCTCCCTCCTTCCTTTCCTCCCGCAGGAGCTCTGCCGGCAGCGCATGGCGGTCAAACCTGCGTCCGAGCGCCCGGAGCCGATGTCCTCCCGCATCAACAGCGTGTCGTCTCAGTTCAGCGACGGCGGTCCGGCCGCCAGCCCCTCGGCGAGGAGCAGCATCTCCTCCTGGAGCGAGGAGCCCGCCCACTCCAACATGGACATCTCCACCGGTCACATGATCCTGGTAAGCCCCCCCCCCCCCCCCTAGTGGAACACAAGTAGAGGAAAGTTAATTCGGAGAGAAGGTTCCATTGGTTCATGCCTCAAGAAACAAACTGTGAGGTCACTGATGCTCCCGCCCCCCCCGTAGGGAGAAAAGCAACGAGCCAATCGGAGCTGTGTCGACAGGATTACATATCGGAATGCAATTGTTGCTTAGCTAGAGGAAAGAAAATCACATCGACTATGAAGTTGCAACGACTCTTACATCTGTGAAAAACGCCAACGACTCCTGTGTGGATTTAGAAATCACGTTGGGATGAATGTCGCAACGGCGCCCCCAATCCCCATCTGACATTATGCACGAAAACTAAATGACAAATGTTGTACAAGATACAGTTTATGTAGGAAGTCACACTAATTACAGATCAAATTATCACATGAGCACTAATATTTTTTTTTAATTACCCTTGAGGTCGGTTTCCCGTCTTTCCAAACCGCGGCGAGAGACTTTTATTTTCCCTTTTTTCATCCAAAGCGTCACCATCTCCTCACATCACTTACCTCTTTGGAGAGAGTGGAGCCTCTCTCTCTCTCTCTCACCCTCTCTCTGGTGTCTCCCCCTCTCTCTCCCCTCATCACACCCCCACCACTCCACCGGATCGCTTCTCACCGGTTCCCTCCACGCCGAAGGAAATCTCCTTAATTGCAACATAAAGCTATTCAACCGGCCGGCACCTGCAGCACCACATCCTCACCCCCCCCCCACGCACCTACACCCCCCTACACAAGCCGCTCAAGCGCTCCTCCTGAAGGGCGCCGTGCGCTCGAGGTTTCGGGGGGGGGGTCGGCGCTTCCCGGATCTGCGTCTGCTTTTGTATTTAGGAGGAGGCAGATGGGGGGGGGGGGGGTCAGATGAGACTGATAATGATCCAAATAACAAAGAGGCCACCCGACCCGTCGACACATTAAAAGACCAAATCATTTGATGTGATCTACTGTAGTTGTACATGAACACGTTAACGTGTTCGCCACTATCGGCGACTCGGCCGCGTGTATCGAGTCTGTTTGTTTTAACACAGAAGAACTTAACTGCTTAAAACACGTGAAACCTGCCAAAAGCTGCTGGGACCCCCGCCGGGAAGAAGACGGCGTGTTTGTGAGCGGCCCGTCGGTCACAGGATGCTCATCAGCGCAGAAAGTGATAATGTGTGATTCTCAGTTAATGTGAGGGAGCCGTGAACCTCTTAGCTGGCAGGTGTGTGTGTGTGTGTGTGTGTGTGTGTGTGTGTGTGTGTGTGTGTGTTTTATTCTGTATTATCATTCTCTGAGTTGTAGAAGTTTGGCTGTGAAGGACGAGAACTGTGACGCACAGTTACGCACACACGGAGCTGTGAGTGTGTTTCAGCACCTTGGACAGCTACACACACACACACACACACACACCATGTACGGCAGCTTCGTCCTCCCACAGCAGAGACGTTACTCATCAGACGGAAAGTTACACAATTGGATTCTGTTTTTTGTACTTGCGCTGGGTTTTGGATCTCGTCGGCCGCTTCTCTCCGCCCACAGAAGGAAGTGAAAAGACGGTAAGACCTAAGATTGGAGTTGTATGGAGTTAAGTGTCAATCCTGGTAACATGCAGTTTTATGTCTTTAACCGCCCACCAGCCGTCCTCTTTATGAGATATTTTTGTGGATTTGCCGCCATTATCTTCTTATCGTCCCTCCTCCGTCTTTCATTCATTCGTTTTCTTGCATCTTGTTGCTCATTTTCTGCACAGTTTGCTAATCATCTTCCTTTTACAACCTTTTCTGTTTCTTTATTGCATCATTTATTTCTTCCATTACAATTTGTACCATCTATATTTTGTATTCCTTTGCATTGTTGTCTTTTGTCAGATAAACGAATATATTAACATACTAGGAAGGTCATTCCAGATTCACATCTCGACGTCACCTTAGCTTAGCTAGACCGAGCTCAGTTCCAAAACCGGACACTGGGGGGGGCCCCCCCAAAAAAGGAAAATGAACTGCCTCTCGTTAAACCCCGAGCGAACTCCACTGTTGTCGTCCTCCTGCAGATTTTAATTTGAGGAGAAACAGCTTTCACGATCTTATCTGAGTTAATGTATTACTTGTCCCATGTGACCCCCCCCACATCCTCTCTAGCTTGTGTCTTAAGAGGATTAGTCGACTCTCTATATAAAGCACATTATGGTGTCTTTTGTTACTGGCTGAAGGGCTCCGTGGAGATTAACCATGCTGAGAGTTTGGTGCTGGACCAGCGGGGCCGGCGGGGGCACCTGGTCCGTAGAGTTGAGGGGCAGGTGTACTTTGGTCCGCTGAGGAGCAGAACGCCGACCGCAGCCTCTGATGTGGTGGACGGGATGCAGATCGATCGCTGATGATCGGTCACACGTTTGTTGTGGAATTAATAAATGTGGAGACTTTAGCCTGCATTGATTCGGGGGAAACTTAAGTGATTTCAGATGCTTTGTATAAGACCGACAGATAAAGCAGATGTGCTTTTACAGCAACCAAATCCTTTGGGTGGGGGCTTCTACGGATGTTTTAAATATTTTATATTTCTACAAAAGGTTTGAAGTTAGAATTTGAAATCCAAGTCACCATGACTGTGAAGGCGTGCGTTGCTCAAAGGTCTCTCCTGTGTTGTGTTGAAGTGACGTCTCCCCTCGTTAAAAGAACCATTGCATCGCAACACAAAACTAGTGTTTCCTGGTTTATTTTGAATAAACATGTGAGGGACACGAGCAGCTACATGAAGGTTCGAGAACATTCTCTAAATGTCCCAGCCAGTGGGTTTATACTCACCTTTCTCTGCTGAGGGCCCCTCACTCACTTCCCACTTTCATCCATCTAAAATGGCCGATGCATAACGTCACCCCCCCCCCCCACACCATGCGGCCACCGGCTTCCTACAGGTGCTCAGAGAACGTCGGAGCCACAATGGCTGAGTGCGAAGGTTTGTTTGGTCGAGGACCTTTGGCAGATGTAACCCCACACACACTCACACACACACACACACACACACACACACACACACACACACACACACACAGTAAGGGGATTATTCAGTGTTTGGTGGACACATGGTGATCTCAGCACCTCCTGATTGGATTGCAGTAATCCCTTTACACAGTCACAAAACCCCATTACTATGGCATTAGAGAGGGAGGGGGGCACATAGTGTGTGTGTGTGTAGATGTGTATCTTTGGATACGAGTGTTTGCAGGTTATAAAGCTTAATGTGTGTGTCTGTATTTCAGTGTGTGCTTGTCATGTTTCTCTGTATTCGTTTTTTGTGTATTGTATGAAAAGTGTGTTGGTACGTGTGAGCCTTTTGTGTGTCTTTTCAGTGTGTGTGAGCGTGTGTGGGCGGACTCTGTTTTTTGTATGTAACCCTTAGAAAAACCTTTTGTGTGTGTGTGTGTGTGTGTCTGTGTGTGTGTGTGTGTGTGTGTGTGCGCGCGCGCGCGCGCGCGTGTGTGTGTGCGTGTATGTGTGTGTGTGTGTGTGCGCACGTGTGTGTGTGTGTGTGTGTGTGCGTGTAGCTGGGAGGTTGCAGCTCGCCGCGTCCGGTTACATCATTTCTGCTCTGGAGAAAAATGTAATGGAGCTGAAACTAAAAATATGAAAGGCTGTTTTGTGTGTGTGTGTGTGTGTGTGTGTGTGTGTGTGTGTGTGTGTGTGTGTGTGTGTGTGTGTGTGTGTTCTTTTTGTAATAATGTTTCAATATTCATCATATCAAAGGTAATTCATTCAAGTTAATTAGAGTTTAACAAACACTCTTCTCTAATAGTACAACTTTATTTAAGGATGATATTATTAATGTTAATAATGTTAAATATGTATATCCCAGCGTTTAAATCAAAGGGTACAAAGAGCTTTACAGGATACAAACAAAAAACGATTTAAAAGAGTTTCACTACATTGAGCGAGGAAGAAACAAATATTTATTATTATATCAGTATCCGTTTGATTAGTTCACAACATCTCTGCGTTTCATCAGGACACTTCTCCAATATTTCCACCAGCCGAACTTCCACGGTTCCATTTTTCACCAACGCCGCTCGTTTTAGAGCAAATCCACGAGGCCGTTTCTTTTTTAGCTAATTGTGATTAGGATCAGCCCCATTTGTAACCGCCGTCATAAATCATCGCCGGAGCCATTTAAAGAAGCACGTTCGCTTCCCTCGTCCATCACGCAGGATCCACACCTTCGTGCCCGCCGGTCTAAAAAACAAAGTTCCTCCGGCCGCCATCAGCTGACCGCTGACCAACTGGAACCTTCTTCCTTGAGGTGTAGACCCACGTGTCCATGTGTTGCCTCAGGAACGACAGCAATAGAAAGATGAATGACAGGAACCATAATAATAAACGTTCAGTACACAGATCTTTATCAAATCTCCTTTTGGTCTCCCCTCTTCTTCTTCTGTCTCTTCTCGGCTCTCCTCTCCCTCAGTCCTACATGGAGGATCACATGAAGAACAAGGACCGCCTGCAGAAGGAGTGGGAGGCGCTGGGGGCCTACCAGGCCGAGCCCAACGCCTGCACCGTCGGCCTGAGGGATGGAAACGCCAAGAAGAACCGCTCGGCTGCCGTGGTGGCGTGTGAGCAATGACCTCCCTCTGTTTGCGGGTTTGATTAGTGGGCGAGTCCACATTAGCATTTAGATGGTAGTAATCACAAAGTGATCGAGTAAGTGAAGTACTGCCTCCATATCCACTGCGACCGTCGCTGCTTACACGAGGTCTGGATTTTATTTTTGGGGGGCGACTTTCATTGCTGATTTTGACTTGTTTTGTTTTTTTCATTGTGAAAATTAAGCACAAATACATCAGTACTGACCTTCAAGTGTCATCGGGTCGTGTTTGGATTCAAAGAAAGACAACTTGACCTTAAAGAAATTGTTGCGCCACAAGACCAGCGTTTCAAAAGTATTAACGTTTAAGAATATTGAAAAAAATAAATGAATGGTGTCTGATGAACAGGCCTGTAGATCAATGCGCTTTTAATTCCCTCATTTAAACCAATATGGTAGACCTGTCAATCACAGCAGCCCCGCCCTAAAGCATCCGCTGCTTTATGGCCTGTTTGACTCTACATGGACCATCATTTACTAAATGAACATCATGCTGTATTGAAGAAGATGTTTACAATGTTTATTGAGGGAATAAATCAAGAGAGAAGTAGAGTCATTTTCTCATAGACGTCTATCTCGAGAGACCAACATGTGAAGGAAAGGAGAGACAGTAATATCTCCCCCTCTGCTCACGGGAGGCAGACAACCGCTAGTTTCTGAGTGGAACCAAAACACCGTCTTTCAATGTCGGCCGTGCAAACATGGCAGCATTTCTCCTCGACAACACTCGCGGTATTTTCTGAACCGCGGCCTCTATTATCGGAAACCTGGAGCAGATGCGGCGGGCAGAAGGCTTGTAAATGAGTTTTCTATTAAAGCTCTCTCCGTACCGACCTCATCAATGATTCAAATTTCTACGCTTTTGTGGAAATGGCCCATCTAAAAAAAGTGCTATTCCGTTTTGTGCGCCGCCTCGGCTTAATGAAATCCAGGTTGTCAGCATGGAAAGCAGTTTGTCAGGAATAAATTGGGCTTCCTATTTGAAGCACCACTGGCTTTGCCCGAACATGATTTAAAACTCTTTCGCCACCAACGAAGACTTGAGAGTTCTGCTCCAAAGTACAAACGCGGACCACCAACTGTGTGCAATTAGACTCCAAAACGTTTTCTCTATTAGCTAAATATCTTTAAATATTGAAAAATACTTTTCTCCCCCTGATATTGTCAAGAGTATATTGTGTTTTCACACAAATTGTGATTCTAAGGGTGGATTCTTCCTCCTTGTTGCTAACGCTAGTGTGTTGCTGCTAGCATCGAGCCGCGCTTCCCAAGCGCTAACAGCAGCAGCCAGAAACAAGCGTCCGAAATCAATCATCCATTTGATAATCCAAACGGAACACTTCTTTTCTTGCAGTGCCTTTTCTATAATTAGTTTAATCTCTACTGTATCTGAGTTATCTACTGCTGCTATAAAGTTAAGGCTCGGCCAAAGAGCGCGTGTTGCTAAAGATTCATCACGTTTGCCTGCCAGACAAAACACCCCAAGATTAGCAGAACAGGTGACTGGTGGCAGCTCGCCGTCCTGTGGAAAAGGGCCACGGATCAGAGCGTATTCAGCAGATAAGAACACCTCGTCACGCCGCGTGTAACACGGCGGCTGAGCGCCGGCGTTCCCTGAATTCTTTCCTGTTTGTGTTCCAGACGATCACTCCCGAATCAGCTTGAAGGTGGAGAACAGCCAGGGCGGCTCTGATTACATCAACGCCAGCCCGATCGTAAGTACCTCCTCTGCATTCTAAATCCGCCACCGCCACCGCCGCACCCGCCCCCCCCCCCGCGGGGACGAGGAGGCGGCCTACCGTTTGTGAGATATACATTTTGAAGCAGCGCTCGCTTTGCGCCGGCGTTCTGCACCATGAATATTAATGACGGTTCCACAGCAAACACCGCGGGCGGAGCGCTGGGAACGTGCGCCCCTCGTTTTCTTTGTTAAAAAGGAACATGGATCCGTGGGGGATTGGGGGGGGGGGAAAGTTGTGACCCTGCCTATGCTACTTTTGACCCAGCCCCCCGTTACCCCCACG